ATTGGGTAAGCATACGGAGCAGAAGTCCATCCGTGGCTATTAGATAGGAACTCTCGGTCTGGGGCAAGGGATGCTCTGTCTTCTTGGTGCTTTGGGGGGGGGTCAACAGTGGGAGGGGCTCCTAGTGTCCTCCTGGCCCCACTGCTGGACCTCCTGATGGCACCTGGTGTTTTTGGCCACTGTGTGACACAGAGAGTGTTGGACTAGATGGGCCACTGGCCTCTTATGTGACTAGCTCTCAAAGGCCCGATGTTGCTGCTGGTGCTCGTGTTCTTATCCGCGAGATCAGCCACAGCCAGAGAAAGGCCAACATGACTCCTTGTTGTATATGGACTTGGGGTTGGGGGAGACCCAGGCTGGACTAAAGGCCTGCCTCCTCCAATCTGCAGAGGGAGGGCAGAAAACGTGCAGGGGGGGGCATGAGCAGGAGCCCTCCTGGATTTCCACACTGGGAAAGGCCTGAGAGAGGCTGGGGGGGGGCGGAGTGGGGAGCTGCTCCCTGCAGCGCTGCTGCCCTTGCTTGGATCAGCCCCCTGCTCGCCTTGCTTCCACCACCCCTATGCACTTGGGGGGTGGATCTGACTTTCGGCTCCAATCCTCTCATTCCTCCGAGTCCACCCACTGTGAACACCTCGTGGTCCTTGGACCCAGTGGTTAAGAGTAGCAGGGCTCTAATCTGGAGAACCGGGTTTGATTCCACTCTTCCACGTGACGCCAGCTGGGTGGCCTTGGGCCAGTCACAGCTCTCTGAGCTCTAAGCACCACCTCCCCTCCGTTGCGGGGGAGAGGAAGGGAAGGCAATCGTAAGCCCGCTCCGAGGGTCCTTGGGAAAGTGAAGAGCGGGATATAACAACCAACTCTTCCTATTCTTCTTCTAAATGCACATTGATGGGGTCCAAACCGGCAGAGACCAAGTCAGTGATCTTGGAGATGTGAAAGAGAACTCACTGAAAATGTGAACTCAGTTTGCAAAAGCAACAAAAAGGCCAACGCTCTGTTGGGGATTATTAGGAAGGGAACTGCTGACAAATCAGCCAATATCATCATGCCCCTGGATAAATCGAAAGGGCAGCCTCATTTGGAGAACTGTGTGCAGTTCTGGTCATTGGAAAAAGTGCAGAAAAGGGCCACTAGAATGATTAAGGGGATGGAACACTTTCCCTATGAAGAAAAGTTAAAGAGGTTAGGGCTCTTTAGCTAAGAGAAATGACTGAGGGGTGACATGTTCGAGGTTTATAAGATTATGCATGTGATAGAGCAGGTAGAGAAAGAGGTACTTTTCTCCCTTTCTCACAATACAAGAACTCCTTGTGGGCACTCCATGAAATTGCTGAGCAGTCGGGTGAGAACGGATAAAAGGAACATAAGAACATAAGAGACGCCAATGTTGGATCAGGCCAATGGCCCATCCAGTCCAACACTCTGTGTCACACAGTGGCCAGAAATACCAGTGCCATCAGGAGGAGGTCCACCAGTGGGGCCAGGACATTAGAAGCCCCCTCCCACTGTCGACCCCCTCCCCAAGCACCAAGATGACAGAGCATTACTTGCCCCAGAGTCCCTATCTATACCTTGTGGCTAATAGCCACAAGCACATCTTCACCCAAAGAGTAATTGACACGTGGGATTCACTGCCACAGGAAGTGGCGGTGGCTACAAACATATACAGCTTCAAGAGAGGATGGCGTAAACATGTGGAGCAGAGGTCCATCAGTGGCTCTAAGCCACAAGGGACAGATGGAACACTCTGCCTGGGGCAAGGGATGCTCTGTCTTCTGGGGGGGGCGCAGTGGGAGGGCTTCTAGTGTCCTGGCCCGACTGGGGGACCTCCTGAGGGCCCCTGGGTTTTGGCCACTGTGTGACAAAGAGTGCTGGACTGGATGGGCCATTGGCCTGATCCAACATTGGCTTCTCTTATGTGCTTAATGGTAGGCAGGCCAAGACTGGAGCACCTTGCTTTGGCTTTCAAGAGCCAAATCTTTGCAGGGAGGGCAGGTGCAGCCTTTGCTATGACAAGCCAGAGCAGTAGCAGGAGCCACACAATGGCTGGAGGGAGCAGCCCTCACCTCCAGCGGCTGGGGAGAGGACTATTGATGTGGAGTAGGCTCTGCTCATCCATGGGCACCTCTGCCAGGCCTGGGGGTGGGGGCCCTTCTCCAGATAAAGCTTCCCCCCCATCCACAATCAACCAGCAAGGGCAGCCCGGCTCTCCCGAGGCCAGGCTGCATTTTGAGCGCCCCCCGCCCCCCCTTTCTCCAAGGAGCCGGGAGCAGCATGCCCAGTCCCCCCCTCCCTCTGTCCTCCTAACCCCCCTGCAAGGCTGCCGCTCAGCACACAGAAGGGCAAAGCACGGGGACCCCTGGGCTCCCTCGCCCGACCTCATGATCCTTGCGCTGGGAAGGGCCCTCACGTCGCGGCGGACTTATGGCCACCCTGGAGGGCACCACCCAGGGCAGGAGGTGCTCAGAGCCGGCTTGCCGTTGCTGCCTAGCCAGCCTGGACTGACTGCCCCGGCGGCCTCCCCTCCAGGGGCCGACCCTGCCCAGCTCCTGAGACCTGAACAGACTCTGAGCTAGCCTGGGCCGTTCAAGTCGGGGCCAGTCATCCGGCGGGGGGCCAAGTCACAGCTGACCTAGAGCAACCCCCCCCCCCGCAGAGCGTTCCCAAGGCAAGAGGGGCGTTCGGAGTTGGGTTTGCCATCGCCTGCCTCTGCGCAGCAACCCTGGCTGTCGCCCGTCCAAAGCACGAACCAGGGTGACCCTGCTCAGCTGCCGAGATCGGATGAGACGGGGACAGCTGGGGGGGCACCCGGGACGGGGCAACCTCATCCCACAGATCAGATGCAGAAGTGGTGGGGGTTTTCTTTGCAGCACCGTTGTCTAATTCTGCCTTCAGACCCTATGAGAAAGGCAGATGAGAATGGAAAGACATCCTGTAGGGCAGTGCAGGATTCTCCTGGCTGGAAATTGGGAACTGGAATCCTTATACGTCATGAGAGGCCGAGATGGAAAAACAGAAGACACTGGCCTGCCAGCCTTCTGGGGTAATGCTAGTTTAACACCCATTATCTCACCAATGAGGGGTCGTGTATCACGACGAGGAAGTACTTCTTGAGGCCTTTCGCCAGGCGTTAGTGAGATTGATCCGTAGAGAAGCCCCTCGTTAGGGCGCCAATTGAGGTGCTGCTCGTTAGGGTGTGGGGTGCAGGGTTCACGATGCAAAGACGACAGGACACAAACGGCTGCAGGAACTGATCAGAATGAATGAATGAAGGAACCTCCTCCTCTCATGCAGCAGCTTTATTTATCCAGCTTTATTTTTCCCCCTTCTCCCTCCCTCCCCCTTCATAAGGGAGTTACAAACATTAGAGCATCCTTTTTGAATGTGTGTGTGTGTGTGGTCACGTTCTCTCAGGCAAGCTCTGTTATCTTTGCCACCCCCACTCTCTCAAGGTTACTGACTGCGTAGTGAGCAGTAAACAGAATCCATCTCGGCCTCTCATGACATGTAAGGATTCCAGTTCCCAATTTCCAGCCAGGAGAATCCTGCACTGCCCTACAACATCCAATACACTCAGCAGAACCACCGTCCAAGGCCTACAGCCCCTAGACCAGTGGTGGCGAACCTATGGCACGGGTGCCAGAGGTGGCACTCAGAGCCCTCTCTGCGGGCACACGTGCCATCACCCCAGCCAGGCCCAGTCCATCATTAAAGTGTCAAATTCTCTACCAAATAATTTTAAGTAAATGAAAATTTGGGATGTTTGGATCATCTTAAGTTAATGTATGAGTGGTTTTTTTCTAAAGTAAAACCTCAGTATTCAGGTTAAATTGCCGTGTTGGCACTTTGCGATAAATAAGTGGGTTTTGGGTTGCAGTTTGGGCACGCGGTCTCAAAAAGGTTCACCATCACTGCCCTAGACTGTTCCCTCATCTCCTGACAAGGCAGAGTGGAACAACAAGATGCCCCCCCCCACGCCACCCTCACCAGCTCCGAACTGACCCTCGGACAGCTGGAGCCCTTTTGAAATACGCACCTCAAAGCTCCTCTCCAGCCCTGAGTGCAAGGGGGGGGGGATTCCCCCAAGTCATAGACCCCAGTGAAGCCTGGTGCATGGGAAGCACCCCCTTGCCTCTGCAGGGGCCGAACTGGATTGGATCAGGGCAACTGGTCTGCTACGGGGGGGGGGGGCAAAGAAACACCCCCTCCGCCTAACCGGACAGCTGCGAAGCCACCACACCCTTCTTCCCCACCTTCCTGGCCAAGGAGGCCCAGCACCCAGGAGTACCTTTTCAGCAGCAACTGGGGGGACTTCCGAGTGTGTGTGTGTGCGCGCGTGTGTGTGTGTGCGGGGGGGGGGATCTGCTCCTGGGAGCCTGGAGAACAGGCCCAACTCGGACACCAGCAGGCGGGGCCAGGCCTGGAGAGGGGGGGCGCGGGGGGGGGGGTTTCTCCAAACAGGACCTCTCCTGTTTTCTCCTCAGCTTGATGGAAACATGGGCGAACTCCAGCTCAGCCGCACCCCCAAACTCTGGTTGCACAAACTGGCCGGCTGGCAGGCCTGCACTCCTGGCTTCTCTGTGCCTGCCGACCGCTCAGCGCCGTCGGGAGGGGCAAACAGGGTTAGAGGTGAGACTGAGGATGGCCCCGTACCTGCCGGCCACTCCGGAGCCAGACCCCCCTTTTTTGGGGGGGGGAAGGTCACCAAGACCATCACCCAGGACTCCCCCTCCAGAGGAATGGCAGCGCACCACCCCCAGAGTAACCCTTGTAATCCTCCTGCCCCTAGTGACTTGGGGCACAGCAGCAGAGCTCTGCCCCCCCCCCCCCCGGGGGAGGGAAAGCCCCTAGGAAGGTAGCCGCGCTGCTCATTTTCCACCCGAGGCAGATGCCGTTTCCTCTCCGGCAAAGTGGGCTCCAAGGCCGCTCAGAGTCCATTGCGTGAAGAGGGGTCCCTGCTCCAGCCCCCCCTCCGCACGAGACAGACCCACGCAGAGCTCCAACGGTCCTTTATTGCTTGGGACTCCAGACACCCAACCTCCGCCACGGGGGGGGGGGAGCCACACAAGGAGCCAGAGCCCCAGACGCCAGGTCAAAGCGCCCCTTGAGTCAAGCCCTTGATCTTGTCCATGTTGTGATCCACGGCTCCCGAGAGGAACCGCACCCAGCTCTCTTCAGAGGGAAGGCACACGTGGCTGGCCCTGGGGAGGGAGGGGGGGGAGAGAAGCCGTTAGGCGTGGACATGCCACCGCCAGCCCGAGCCCCAGAAAGACTCACCTGCAACCCCACAAGCCACCTACAGCTCCGGGCTCTTGACAGGCCCATGCCACTCCACCTCAACTCCTACATCGGAAGAGCCCTGCTGGCTCAGGCCACGGAGGGTCCCTCCAGTCCAGCCTATCCTGCCTCACACAGCGGCCAGCCAGCTCCTCTGGAGGGCCAACAAATGGGCAGAGAGGCCGAGGCCTTGCCCTGAGGTTGCCTCCTGGCTCTGGGATTCAGAGGCTGACTGCCTCTGAACATGGAGGCTCCCTTTAAGTCACCACAGCTAGGAGCCACTGATCAATCTGATCTCCATAAATCTGCCCAATTCTCTTTTAAAGCCATCGACACCTCTGGCCATCACCACATCCTCTGGCACTGGATTTCACATTTTAATCACTGTGTAAAGTCGTATTTCCGTTTGCTCATCCTGCGTCGATGACCTTCACTGGATGCCCTTGGGTTCTAGTACTTGGCGGCGGGGGGGGGGGAGCTCTCTGGGTCAGCTCTCTCCACCCTATGCATGATTTTATAGATCTCTATCATGTCCCCCCCTTACTTTTCTCTGTGCTCAACGGAAGAGTCCCGGCAGACTCCTCAGCCTTTCCTCATAAGGTTGCTCAACCCTCGAGTCACCTTGGTTGCCCCCTCCTCTGTACTTTTCCCAGTTCCGTATCATCCTTTTTGAGATAGGGGGCTATGAGCTCTACACGGTATTCCGAATGGGGTCACACCATAGACCTATACAAGGGCATTGCAGTATCAGCCGTTTCCTTCTCAATCCCTTTCTAATAATCCCTGACACAGAGCTTGCTTTTTTCACCTGCGCAGCACACTCTGGGTGGACACTTCCATTGAGCTGCCACCACGACCCCGAGATCTTATCACTGGATAGGAGACCACTGGAAGCAGGGGGGGTCCCACAAGGATCGGTATTTTGGGGGCCGGAACTATTTAACTTATTCATCAGTGACCTGGAACCAAGTTTGCCGATACACCAAATTATTCAGGATTGCAGACTAGATGATGAGGGGACTTGGAGCCCCTTCTCTATGAGAAAAGGCTGAAGGGTCTGAGACAACTAAGGGGGGGGGGCATGATGCAGGTTTACAAAATTATGCATGAGGTGGAGAGAGTTGAGCAAGAGAACTATTTCTCCCTCTCCCAAAATAGTAGAACTGGGGGTCATCCAGTGAAGCGGATGGGCAGTAGGTTCAAGACAGACGAAAGGAAAGACTACTTTACACAGAGTGATTAAAACATGGAATTCATGACCAGTGGATGTAATGATGGCCACAGGAAAAAACAGCCTTAAAAAGGAAATTAGACAGATTCACAGAAGATAAGTTTGGCCTCGCTGGTGGACCTCCTGATGGCACCTGGGTTTTGGCCACTGTGTGACACAGAGTGTTAGATTGGATGGGCCACTGGTCTGATGCAACATGGCTTCTCTTATGTTCTTAAGTCTATCAGTGGCTACTAGCCATGTTGACTGACAGGAGCCTCCACATTCAGAGGCACTAAGCTTCTGAATCCCAGAGCCAGGAGGCAACATCGGGGAGGGCCTTGGCCTCTATGCCCTACTGTTGGCCGTCCAGGGAAGCTGGTTGGCCACTGCGTGGGACAGAAGGATGCTGGACTAGCTGGACCCTCACTACTGGTCTGACCCAGCAGGGCCCTTCTGGTGTTCTTATCAGGGGAAGGCCTCAGCCCCTCTGCCCTGTTGCTGGCCCTCCAGAGGAACTGGTTGGCCCCTGTGTGGGGCAGGAGGATGCTGGGCCAGATGGACCCTCACTGGTCTGATCCAGCAGGGCTTTGCTTGTGTTCTTATGAGTGGAAACATCACAACCCCACAAATATAGCTTAATCCTTCGATCAAAACTCTGCAGGTGATCTTGAGATAAAGAGTTATAAATGCTGTGACTTCAACAACATGCACATTTTCCCAGCCAATTTATCTCCTGGTCACAGCAAAGAGACAAAGTTTCTAGACCGCTGTGGACAAACGCCCCCCCTCACTCCAGTAGTTCAGCCTTGCATTCTACTGTATCCTCCTTATCACAGGAACCCTTTGGCAGATTTTTGGCAGAGACACCAAACGTGGGCCTGATTCCTCCATTCCCCGAAAACAGAGAGCCATCCAGCTCTCGGTTATGCAAATGCTGGGTCAGGAAAAAACAGAGGGGTGTGTGTGATGGTCTCCGTCTGACTCTTGGCTAGAATGTGCTACACCCAAGGGGAAGAAGTCCTGGGCAGCCCAGCGGCTGGAGCGTTCTCTCTCTGTTCCCCTTCAGGAAGGAAGATCAGAACACGCCTCGGGCTGGGTGGCAGATTCCCCAAGGAGAGACCATGAATCCCCAGGACACAGGAGAGACGTTTCTCCTCCAACGTGCTCTTCTCCATGGAAGGGCTCAAACCACAAAACATGGCGTCTTGACCCCAGGGACTCCGTCTTGACCATGTGGGGCCAAGGAACACCGGGGGGGGGGGGGGATGGAATCTGCATTCTTCAGTTCTGTAACTTCCAAGGAAGGCTCGCCTGTCCCAGGTAAGGGTGAGAGGACCACCTTTCCTGTGGGGCGCCCTTGGCTCAGCCTGTCAGTGGGCAGCAAGGTCCCAGGCGGGATTCAAGTTGAAGTGACTCCGGTTAGGTCCCCGTGGTCGTGGCAGACAACTCGGTGAAAACGCCCCAGGCTGGCTGAGGGGGCACCAGCAAAGTAGACTGCGAAAACCAGGCTAATCCCATCCTGACTCATCACATCTGGATGCAGGGAGCGCCCCGGCTGCAGGCAACTCTGCAAACCTGGCCACTGTCCAGAATTATTGCGTCCACTGTGGAAGAAGCCCCCCCCCCACTCACACACACACTCACTGGACAACCTCCATCATCTTCTTCAGCACGGCAGCCAGCTTCCCGGCCTGCAGGAAAGGAGAGGGGTGGGGTGGGGTGGTGGAAGGCTCAGACTGTCAAAGGGGATTCCTGGGTTTCCTCCTGAGCTGCGCCCCCCCGCCCCCCCTCGAGGCCTTAACTCTCCAGGGGACCAGTGGGGACAACGACAGAGGGGGCGACACGGAGGAGGGGGGGAAGAAGAAGAGTCTGTCCCACCAGCAGGGTCCACCCCGGGGGTCCTTTGGCAGGAAACCCACCACCGCTTCGGGGCGCAAGATGCCAGGGGTGCTATGTCTGGGGCCACGAGCCCTGGCTCGGCAGAAGCAGTGGAGCTGGGGCTCTTCTGGCACCCCATTGCAGCCCTTTGGCAGCCGGAGCCACCAGCCCACGGCACCGCGACCCCCAGGCATGAGAGCAGCAAGCCCAGCCCTGCAGCACAGGCAGGCAAGAGCCTCCCACTCCCTACGGGGCAGCGCCGCCCCCCCATGTGGTGCCCCCGCTGGACACTGTTCCTGGCGCTCACCAAGGGCTTTTGGAAAGTGGGAGGGGGGGGTGGGAGGACTTCTGCCCAGCAGGATTTCTGACTGGTTACTGGAGACCTCACTGGCTGCGCAGATTTTTAAAAACATTGTTTTGGTAGCAGCTGCCGCAACAGCGCAAAGATCTTCACTGCGTGGCTGAAGGGAAGCTCCATACATGCAAAGGAACATTTTTAAACAATACGGTCATTTTTAAAGAGATCTTATTAAGCAGCGCCGTTGCCAGAAACTATAAGGAGTTACTACATTCCCCAACATTTCATGGTCGGCCCTGTTTCCTGCAGCAGCCGTTCTGTGGTTGTGCCCCACACTCTGTGTCAGAATTCCAAAAGTGCCCACGAACTCAAAAAAGTTGGGCCCCCCCCCCCGGGGGGGGGGGTCCTCTGGGCATGGATGAAAAACTTGCATTAGCTTGCAAAGACCCCTCTGCCCCTTGAAAAAATGATCTGGCAGCGAGGTAAGCACAGGAAGTTGACAGCAGTTCAAGATTGAGATAAAAGAAAACCAGAAAGACCAAAACTGATGCTACTCAAACCCCTCACGAAACCCCAGAAACAGCTCAAAATGGGCTCCCCTTTTTTTACCCCTTACAGACACCCCAAAAGGCTTTACGATGTGCCCGTCAACATCTTCTGGTGGTCCCAGGGACACATCCGCCTCGACCAGGGCCAGGGGGCCTTTTCAGCCTGGTGGAACGAGCTCCCAGTCGAGATCAGGGCCCTGCGGGACTCTTGACAATTCTGCAGGGCCTGCAAGACGGAGCTCTTCCGCCAGGCGTTCAACGAGGGCAACAGACGTCCCTCCTTCTTTACTGGTACATCTGTGAGGTTTTAATGTCAATGACAACGGCACCGGATAAAGGCCACTGTGGTATTTTACTAGTGTTTTAACTGTGTGTATTGTATTTTTATCCAATTTGATGTAACTCGCCCTGAGCCTGCCATGCGGGGGAGAGCAGGATATAAGTCGAAATGAATAAATAAATAAATTCGTACCATGAAATGCAGACAACTGAGCAACTCCCTCCCAAAGACAAAAGTACGAATGGAGAAAGGAAGTTTTCCTGGAAATGATTCTAGGGAAGGCCCCCCCCCCTTCCTGGGGGGTTGCCCCCCCACCTCAGAAAGAGGCCCCGGCTGCCAAGTCCCCAGACAAGGAGAAGATCTCCCATCCGTACCCTGCCCACCATTGGGGTTACTCACATTCAGCCGTAGAGTCAGGCGGTTCACAGGAGGATACGTGCTGAGCACCAACTCATCCACGCTATGGAACGCGAGAGAGAAAGAGATCAGATCAGGAAAAGGGCAGGGGTCCTGAAAGGTGCCAGTTTGGGGAAGAGAAAATATGCCTCCCCCACGCCCACAGAGGAGAGAAGCTTTGGTGAGGCACTTTCCTGCAGCCCCATCGCTCTCCCTCCGAGGGCGTACGGACAAGAACCAGACCCTCTCCCCTCCCTTGGAGGAAGGACAGGACAGATACCGTGCAGCCAACGACAACAAGCACCTGGTCCCCACCCGGCCCTCTGCCCAGGGCAGCAGCACTTGCCCCTCCTGCAGGGCTCCGACCGGCAGCCTCACCTGGGACTGATGTCGCCCGCGGCCTCCGTGAGGCCATCCAGCTGGGCGACCTGCTCTGCCGTGTCCGCTCTGCCCCAGGCTCTCACTGCCCCCAGCGATTTCTTCAGGCACGCCTTGGCCGCCTTCGCCAGCCCCACGCAGGGGCCCAGCAGCTGGCGGTCAGCCTCTGACCAGGAGACGTCTCCGCCCCCCACGGAGCCCTCCTCTTCGTCCTCCAGGGCATCCCGGTTGGGGTCTCTGCCCTCTGCCTGCGCCTGCACGGGAGCACACAGGGCTGGACCTCCCACCCACAGGCAGTCCTAGCCTGACCCCCCCCCCCCGGGAGGGGGCTTAGGGAAAGGGAAGCCCTCCTGGACTCTCCGTCTGCTAACCTCACGTACCATCTAAGGCCCAGCTGAAAAAGGTGCAGGGGGAGAAGCGGAGAGACCAACCTCCCCGGGAGGGCAGCAAGCCAAGGGCCCAGATGGGGCTCTGGGAGCCCCCACGGAGTGTGCAGGGAGACCCCAACCAAGGCAGGGAGCTTAAGGGTCACAAGAGAAGAGGGAACCAAAGCTGCCGGGGGGGGGCGGGAGAGGAGGGAGAGGGGGTCTGCCCTCAGCCAGCAGCATCCAGGCAGGCTGTGGTCTCTGGGGACACCTTCCCCTGCCTTCGCTGTCCCAGGCACCCAAAAAGAAAAGCATCCCTTTGCAAGAACCACAGAACTAGCTGTGGAAACAGGGGGAAAGACCAAAGCAAATGAACCGGCTGGGGTACAGAGGGAAAGGAAGCCACCGGCCCACCGCAGGCCAGGGCAAGCAAAACACACCCATCGAGCGAGCCGGCGTTTCCTGTAGCAAGAAGTCAAGGAAGGGGTCTCCTTCTGTCTCCAGAACCCCCGCATCTCCCCCCCCCCCAGATAGCCTCTGATCCAGTTCTTCTGTGAGCCCAAAACTTCCCCATCCGTCAGTGTAGAGCACAGAAAGACAGAGCTACAAGGCTCCTTGAGAGACCATCTAGTCCCACCCCCAGCACAGCACTGGAGCCTGAACAGCAGGCCAACCTCAACTTACCCACCCTCTGGATCTCCAGCTATGCCATGATTGTGCATTTGGTGGATCAGAAGAGGATGGCACAGGATGTCATCTCCTCCAATAACATCCTGCAATGGGGGGGTGGGGTGGAGAGGCGGGGGGGGGGGAAGGAAGAAGAAGAGTTGGATTTGTACCCCATGGCCCTTCACTGCCCAATGGGAGTCTCAGAGTGGCTTACGATCACCTTCCCTCCCTCTCCCTGCCGCCACAGGCACCCTGTGAGGGAGGTGGGGCTGAGCGAGCTCTGAGAGAACAGTGACTGGCTCAGGGCCACCCAGCTGGCTGCAGGTGAAGGAGTGGGGAATCAAACCCAGACCTCCAGAATAGAAAGTGTCCCCCCCCCCAGGAGGACAGCTGCCCGCCCCTGCCCCGCGAGGAGGAGGAGGCGAGCCGATGCCTGCCGCCGCCCTCCAGCCTACCTGCTCCATCTCCCGCAAGGCATCTCTGACGATCCCCAGGCAGGCGGAGAGGGCCGAGGCCACGGCGGCCGCGTTATCTGGGCGGGAGGCGGGCGCGGTCAGGCGGGGGCAGCAGGGGCTCCTGCTCCCGCTGTTCCCGGGCAGGGATTCTCTCAACCCCCCCCCCCCCCCCCGCGCCCCCCCCCCCCCCAGGAGGCGCCCCTCCCCCCCCCCCCCCCCCCCCCGCCGGGCGCTCACCTCGAGGCAGGGCGGCCGCTCGCTCGCAGGCCTCCCAGACGCCCCCCGTGGAGACGAGCTGCTCCCGCGACAGCCTG